AAGAGAACCTTGGGAAGAGAACTGTGGAAATCTCAGGGAGGCTGGGGACTGACACACAACAGTCCACAATGCAGGAGGGGCCGGGCTGGCTTTGGGGAAGAGAAGTGTTGGCCAAGAACTTCTACATTCTCACCTTCTGTTTCTACTGCTTGAAATATTTTCTCAACACATAGTAATTTTTAAAGAAAGTAAGTCAAAATCCTCTCTGGGTCCTCCACCCCTACCTCATGGAGGCGCCCACTAACAGGAAGCTGGTGCACATCCCCACACATGGCTCGGGAGTGCGAGATGGCAGCCTCCTTGGAGGGCAGTTTGGGAAAAAATTGTATATACAGTAAACTATACCTCAATAAAGTTGTTCAAAAAACATTACAAATGCATATACCCTTTAGATATACGCACACACATGCAAAGTGACACTCTACAATAATTTTCACTGCAACTTTGCTATTACTGGAAATAATCCAAGTGTCTTGCTATCGGGATGGATAAATAAACAGTGTGCCCCTTTGGCCACAAAAAAATAAAACAAAATCACAGCTAAAACCTTGCTACTTCATAGAAAGATGTTTCTTCCTCCTGAGTCTCTGTACATATCTTTTTTTCCTTCAAATGCTTGTGTTGGAACTCTCACCTCAATTCTGGGTGGCGCTCTAGGGCACAGTGAAACCCGGTGAAAGGCGCCTGGCCTATCCTGAGAACAAACATGTGACCTCCAGTGATGGTCCTGTGAAGGAGTGTCGGCTTTCTGGAGTAACGGACTCGCCGGGTACTGTTCATGAATGCTTTGTGCAACGAGCACATGGATTACCTACAGAGCCGTGTTTGATTATTTCCTCTGGATTAAAGGTGTATTGAATTACTGAGCTACTCGGGCATTTTAAACATAAAGATGTATCACTCCCACAATACACACCTATGAATTACATGCAGGCAGGAGATGCATTATGTGGGGGGTCTGCTTCGGCAAACTGACATCTAAATTACCTACGTGGGCGTCCCAGCGAGCAGCAAGTCACCAACACCCCAGGAGGAGGACACTTACAACGGGAACAGTTCTCCAAAGGCGCACAGTCTGGGCTTGCCAACTCGGGGTGTGCGTCACCAACACTCCCCCACCACCCCACTCACTTGGAACTCTTACATTCAGCTCTTAGGAGTTCTTAAGTTATAACTCATTCTTAAATGGGAAGTTTCTCTTGTGGTTTTAGTTTGGGAGTAATCACTCAGTAAAAATGCAGCGTGGTCCATGCACACACACCAGCCTGGCCTCACTCTCGGCGGTGTCCTGAGGCGGGCACACAGCTCGGTAGAAGGCCAGGCGTGGCTCCCCAAGTCCTGGCAGGATGCAGTCACACCTTCCTGCACTTTGCTATTTGGGAGCTCAGTAACAGCGTAGACCCCATGTGCCTATCCAACGCACCGAGAACCACCTGATACTGCTGATGTACTTACAGACACAAGAATAATCTTTGTATTACTGTATAAAACCAAAATGTTCATAGATTATGTTTAAAAAGAAAGTTTTCACTGACCTGGTGCAACTACATTCACTCTAATTTTCTTTCTTGCTACTTCTTTAGCAAGAGCACGTGAAAACCCAACCAAGCCTCCTTTACTGGCACTGTACACAGTCTGGCCAGAGTTGCCTTTTAAACCAATAACACTTCCTAGGGGGAAAAAGTAAATAAATTCAAACCGATTAATGGGGTTATCTGAATATTAATTTACAGCAAACAAAAAAGATACAAACCATTTTACCTTGTCCTTTCCTAAAATTAGGAATTCTAATCATTGTCATTTGATTAGTAAAGACTTAGTGTACGTGTCTACTCCAGATACATACAGAAAACAGGATATGAAAGAAGCTGTGTAAAAGCTCGAATATAAAGCAGGCTTCAGAACTGGTCCATTAAGTGAAACGAAACCATTCTCATCTCTGAGTAGATCAGACATGATGAAAATTGTATATATAATACGTAGAAAGTTTTCCAGTAGGAAGAGCTTAAAACCAAAAAGGTCATATAAGGACTGATTAATTTTATGATTCTACAATACAAAAAAATATTAGTACAACTGAGATAAATTCACCAAATGTGAACTACTACTAATTAAAATAGCAAAGCTTTAATTATAAACTCTTTATGTAATTCAGTTACTTCAGTGATGTGTTAGAACTTGTGCTCCCTACTAAACATTCCAGGTGGCCTCATTTCTGTGAACATGAATAAATTATAATTCAAGTATCAACTGTATGCAAATAAATTCTTTCAAAACAGAAGTGAGAAAGTAATTTTCTGCACCAGTGGCCTGTACTTATGATATAAAAATTAACCAAGAACCTCACAAATTTTTGAAAAAGTTTCATTTTATAAAAAGAAAGCATTCCAACATTTTACATTATAACCAAGTCCAATATTAAATATTCATCCACATTCTGTATTATTATATGCCAGTTAATGACTGGCATATAATAAGAGAACTGTGAAGCACAGAAAGAGAAGAGACATAAGAGAGAAGGAATGCAAATAACAGAGGAGACCTGAGAGAAAGAGAAATATGGAGACACACAAAACAGCAAGTAGAATCGAGGCATAGAAGCCAAACAGGAAGCTTCAGGAGCTCTGGTTACGCCACACACTGTTGCTCATGGGTCACAAGGTTGACTTCTGAAATACAAACTCTCTAGCAGTTTAACACAGTCGTTTCGGCAATAAGAGTCTCCTACTTTACTTAAAATTATCTATTAATTTACTTTAGCATGCTTCTAAAAGTTTTGCATGTATACAAAGGACTGACATGAGTTACTTAAGTATATCTAAAAAGGGGATATTTTAGAGTTAAATGCACCCCACATTATCAGGGAATATACACCAGCCAGTATACCAGCCAATAAAAACCCGGAATCATTATTTGGTGTGTTAGAAGGCAAAAGTCAACTCATTTACTAATCTTTTATAAGAAAACTGATCTCTCACACTTCTAAGGGTATATGCCAAAAGTATTCTAATTCTTATTACTACAGTATTACTTCCTTTTCTCAATTTCAAAAGAGAAAAATCCTATATTCTGGTTTGGAAAACCATTTCCTACATTAAAAAGAACAGGGTCATTTAACAAGCAGCATCCCCCTTTTGTGAACTTTTAAGGTATCACCACTAAAATTAAAATTCAAACTACCAAACTCAAATAAAATTTCAAGTTGTTTTGCATTTTAAGGTCTACAGGCACATACTACATGGTGTGTCTGCCCCATCGATCAGACGAACTGAGACTAGGGGTTACTTACATCCACTCTAAGAAACTCAAATGGCTATTCTCTCAAGAAAACAACTTCTTAAACCTCTGTAGACTTATCAGTGACCCATACCACTACTGTAGACAGCATCTCTTAGCCCCCACTACGTAAAACTGTTCAATTCCTTGTCCGTATTTTAAAAACTAGATTTAACATAAAAATCAGGATGTTAAACCTTGGGAAGAGAACTGTGGAAATCTCAGGGAGGCTGGGGACTGACACACAACAGTCCACAATGCAGGAGGGGCCGGGCTGGCTTTGGGGAAGAGAAGTGTTGGCCAAGAACTTCTACATTCTCACCTTCTGTTTCTACTGCTTGAAATATTTTCTCAACACATAGTAATTTTTAAAGAAAGTAAGTCAAAATCCTCTCTGGGTCCTCCACCCCTACCTCATGGAGGCGCCCACTAACAGGAAGCTGGTGCACATCCCCACACATGGCTCGGGAGTGCGAGATGGCAGCCTCCTTGGAGGGCAGTTTGGGAAAAAATTGTATATACAGTAAACTATACCTCAATAAAGTTGTTCAAAAAACATTACAAATGCATATACCCTTTAGATATACGCACACACATGCAAAGTGACACTCTACAATAATTTTCACTGCAACTTTGCTATTACTGGAAATAATCCAAGTGTCTTGCTATCGGGATGGATAAATAAACAGTGTGCCCCTTTGGCCACAAAAAAATAAAACAAAATCACAGCTAAAACCTTGCTACTTCATAGAAAGATGTTTCTTCCTCCTGAGTCTCTGTACATATCTTTTTTTCCTTCAAATGCTTGTGTTGGAACTCTCACCTCAATTCTGGGTGGCGCTCTAGGGCACAGTGAAACCCGGTGAAAGGCGCCTGGCCTATCCTGAGAACAAACATGTGACCTCCAGTGATGGTCCTGTGAAGGAGTGTCGGCTTTCTGGAGTAACGGACTCGCCGGGTACTGTTCATGAATGCTTTGTGCAACGAGCACATGGATTACCTACAGAGCCGTGTTTGATTATTTCCTCTGGATTAAAGGTGTATTGAATTACTGAGCTACTCGGGCATTTTAAACATAAAGATGTATCACTCCCACAATACACACCTATGAATTACATGCAGGCAGGAGATGCATTATGTGGGGGGTCTGCTTCGGCAAACTGACATCTAAATTACCTACGTGGGCGTCCCAGCGAGCAGCAAGTCACCAACACCCCAGGAGGAGGACACTTACAACGGGAACAGTTCTCCAAAGGCGCACAGTCTGGGCTTGCCAACTCGGGGTGTGCGTCACCAACACTCCCCCACCACCCCACTCACTTGGAACTCTTACATTCAGCTCTTAGGAGTTCTTAAGTTATAACTCATTCTTAAATGGGAAGTTTCTCTTGTGGTTTTAGTTTGGGAGTAATCACTCAGTAAAAATGCAGCGTGGTCCATGCACACACACCAGCCTGGCCTCACTCTCGGCGGTGTCCTGAGGCGGGCACACAGCTCGGAAGAAGGCCAGGCGTGGCTCCCCAAGTCCTGGCAGGATGCAGTCACACCTTCCTGCACTTTGCTATTTGGGAGCTCAGTAACAGCGTAGACCCCATGTGCCTATCCAACGCACCGAGAACCACCTGATACTGCTGATGTACTTACAGACACAAGAATAATCTTTGTATTACTGTATAAAACCAAAATGTTCATAGATTATGTTTAAAAAGAAAGTTTTCACTGACCTGGTGCAACTACATTCACTCTAATTTTCTTTCTTGCTACTTCTTTAGCAAGAGCACGTGAAAACCCAACCAAGCCTCCTTTACTGGCACTGTACACAGTCTGGCCAGAGTTGCCTTTTAAACCAATAACACTTCCTAGGGGGAAAAAGTAAATAAATTCAAACCGATTAATGGGGTTATCTGAATATTAATTTACAGCAAACAAAAAAGATACAAACCATTTTACCTTGTCCTTTCCTAAAATTAGGAATTCTAATCATTGTCATTTGATTAGTAAAGACTTAGTGTACGTGTCTACTCCAGATACATACAGAAAACAGGATATGAAAGAAGCTGTGTAAAAGCTCGAATATAAAGCAGGCTTCAGAACTGGTCCATTAAGTGAAACGAAACCATTCTCATCTCTGAGTAGATCAGACATGATGAAAATTGTATATATAATACGTAGAAAGTTTTCCAGTAGGAAGAGCTTAAAACCAAAAAGGTCATATAAGGACTGATTAATTTTATGATTCTACAATACAAAAAAATATTAGTACAACTGAGATAAATTCACCAAATGTGAACTACTACTAATTAAAATAGCAAAGCTTTAATTATAAACTCTTTATGTAATTCAGTTACTTCAGTGATGTGTTAGAACTTGTGCTCCCTACTAAACATTCCAGGTGGCCTCATTTCTGTGAACATGAATAAATTATAATTCAAGTATCAACTGTATGCAAATAAATTCTTTCAAAACAGAAGTGAGAAAGTAATTTTCTGCACCAGTGGCCTGTACTTATGATATAAAAATTAACCAAGAACCTCACAAATTTTTGAAAAAGTTTCATTTTATAAAAAGAAAGCATTCCAACATTTTACATTATAACCAAGTCCAATATTAAATATTCATCCACATTCTGTATTATTATATGCCAGTTAATGACTGGCATATAATAAGAGAACTGTGAAGCACAGAAAGAGAAGAGACATAAGAGAGAAGGAATGCAAATAACAGAGGAGACCTGAGAGAAAGAGAAATATGGAGACACACAAAACAGCAAGTAGAATCGAGGCATAGAAGCCAAACAGGAAGCTTCAGGAGCTCTGGTTACGCCACACACTGTTGCTCATGGGTCACAAGGTTGACTTCTGAAATACAAACTCTCTAGCAGTTTAACACAGTCGTTTCGGCAATAAGAGTCTCCTACTTTACTTAAAATTATCTATTAATTTACTTTAGCATGCTTCTAAAAGTTTTGCATGTATACAAAGGACTGACATGAGTTACTTAAGTATATCTAAAAAGGGGATATTTTAGAGTTAAATGCACCCCACATTATCAGGGAATATACACCAGCCAGTATACCAGCCAATAAAAACCCGGAATCATTATTTGGTGTGTTAGAAGGCAAAAGTCAACTCATTTACTAATCTTTTATAAGAAAACTGATCTCTCACACTTCTAAGGGTATATGCCAAAAGTATTCTAATTCTTATTACTACAGTATTACTTCCTTTTCTCAATTTCAAAAGAGAAAAATCCTATATTCTGGTTTGGAAAACCATTTCCTACATTAAAAAGAACAGGGTCATTTAACAAGCAGCATCCCCCTTTTGTGAACTTTTAAGGTATCACCACTAAAATTAAAATTCAAACTACCAAACTCAAATAAAATTTCAAGTTGTTTTGCATTTTAAGGTCTACAGGCACATACTACATGGTGTGTCTGCCCCATCGATCAGACGAACTGAGACTAGGGGTTACTTACATCCACTCTAAGAAACTCAAATGGCTATTCTCTCAAGAAAACAACTTCTTAAACCTCTGTAGACTTATCAGTGACCCATACCACTACTGTAGACAGCATCTCTTAGCCCCCACTACGTAAAACTGTTCAATTCCTTGTCCGTATTTTAAAAACTAGATTTAACATAAAAATCAGGATGTTCAATTTCTCTTAAAAAAGTCAAGATAGTTGGCAAACCTGAGACCACATATGTGCACAGCAGCAATCCCCTGGACCTGAGAGTGGTGCCCCCCTCACTTTCTATATGGCCTCTGGACACTAAGACGTGCATCTTCTGTCATCTACTACATGACCTGTGCTGTCATTCTTCTAATAACTGGTGGTGTCACTCATTTAACACCTGCTTGGCCAACCACTCGAAGAATGTGAATTTGTGATTCCTATTTTACCCTACTTAATCTGCTAATCCAATCCTTTTTCCATAGGCATTAAAAAGACACATTTCATTCAGGTTACACACATGAATAAATTCCAAGTCAGCTATTTAAGTATTTTAATGGTACTATGAGATAATCTTAAATTCATAAAAGCGAAGACTCACCGACATTAACAATCGACCCTCTCTGTTGCTGAATCATACTCTTCACAGCAGCTTTACAGGTCAGCATGGAACCCAGAAGGTTAGTATGAAGCTGGGATATCATATCCTCAGTTTCTGTTCTTACTAAAAGGCTATCCCTGCAAAACAAAGGATGTCACTTAAAAATGAGATAAACAAAGTAAAAAAATACATAACATTTTTACTGAAAGTAGGGTAAAACAAGTGTCTGTATTTGAGCTAGAATACGGAGGGTCCCATTTTTAGCTTGGTTTGAAAGCCACCAAAATGATGACTGATAAGCCAGAAAGGACCCACTTGGGAGCCAGGTTTCTACCCCTCTCAGGTAGAGCGACAAATAATCCTACTGCTGAGAGTGGTACCATGTGGGCAAAGGAGCTTGGATGAACTGGCAACTGCCATACTAAGCCTTTCTTGAGCAAGAAAAGTATCCTAACTATTCTGTCCTAAATTCACCTTAAAAAAAAAAAAACCTGATTCCATTAAGTTCCTGAAATGATAAAACTTATATATGGTGACAGAAGTCAGAATGGTGCTTACCTATAAGGAAGTATTAACTGGGAAGAAACTGAGACAGTCTGGAGAGCTGGAAAAGTTCTACAACTCAGTATGGGTGTCACTAAAATAACGGAATTGCTCAAACTATACCCCTATTGAATGTTTCAAGACAAAAGAAAAGAATGTATGGATTGAAAGACCAAGTTTTCCAATACACAGTTTTTCTTCCAATTGGAAGTAAAACAAGTTAATCAATATATTAACCGATACTAATCAAAGATGTTAGGTTAAAAAAAAAACTATCAGAAATGTACTTAAATTTGTGACCAACCTGTTAATTCCAGCTGCATTTACCAAGAAATTAACTCGACCCAAATTTTTTTCAATCTCTTCAAATGTACTTTGAACTTCATGTTCTTTGGCAACATCACAGCTAAATGCCAAATGATCTCCTATAAAACAAAATCAGTTTCTTTTGGATTGTAACTTAGAATTTAAAAATTACTCAACACACATTTGTTAAACATCTACTCTGAGCTAGGCCTGTTCTGCTCCCTGGAGTTCAGGCTAATAAAACTGGGATGGGGGTACGAGGGCAACTAGGAGAAATAAAGGAAAACAACAGAATGTAAAGCTTAAAACTTTTTTCATCAACAAAAGGGCCTTTTTTGTGCTCATAATCCTTGCAAGATTCAGCACAGAATACTTTCAGCTTTGACACTGACCTATGCCCAATTCAGCAGCCTTCTGGATTTCATATTCCTTTTTTGAAATTATGTCTAATTCCGTTAGGTTTTCGTTGAATTGGTTTCCTGGTCCTGAACATAAACTCCTGGTTTGTTTCTTTGTTTGTTTTACCATGGCACATACATGATAATGACTATTATTCAAGACTGACTATTAGAAGTGAGTAAAAATTGTGAAAACTACAAACCATGAAAAAAAATAACTTTTCAATAAAAACTTACTTTTTAAATGCCCTTTTTAAAAATGTTACCAAAAATGACACGCAAAAATTGCACTTGAAAGCAAGCATTCTCTATTTAATAGTAATTTCAACACTCTGAAATGCAGATTAAAAAAAACTAAACAATTGCTTATGTTCTGGCTGACCTTGCCTAATAGGTTAACACTGAAATTAACCCCGCAAGCCTTTGGAAACGGTTCAGTCATGCGGGAAGTCACATTATCTAGGCGAAAGCCAATTACGCACAGAACACACAACACAAGGACTCGAAGGACGCAAAAGCACCCTGTCCCTCCTTGCTGTCTTGTGAGGTTCACAAACACCCTGGGAAGTTCAACCAACGGCTCTGACCTAGGCCAGCAAACACTAAGGGCTTGGGGTGACCCCAAAGGTCCACCACGTCTCCGCCCCTGCGCCACAGTGACAACAGCAATGGGCACTAGGAGCAGCAAGCGGCACCCACTGCAATCCTCCTTAGTCTGCGGCTTACATGGGGTTTTCCTTTTAGAGAATCTAATACTCTCCCAGCCTACGTCAACGATCAGGGTAAACCCGTCAGTAACGTTACTTTAAAGGCCACAGGGTCACAGCCACCACATGCCTCCCGCGGTGAATGAGGGCACCCGTCCATTCTAGTAGCTAAGTGAGCAGCGGCGACTCAGCGCCGTTCGCACAGTCTATCTCCCCCTACCATCGAGAGACTTAAATCCTTAATGCAACAGTTACTTATCCGTTACTAATAAACAGGCGGAAAAACTGGAGTTCAAATGCAATAAAAAGTAACTGACCAAAACAAGCCTCAACTGCTCATCTGCATAAGTCACCGAGACAATGGAGCGCCTTACGAGCGCTCACGGGGACAGAGAAGCCAGCCGGGCGGACCCCGGGCAGGCAGGGACCCCGGCGCGTGCAGCCTCGGGGCCTGGTGCTCGGCGGCGGCGCCCGCTACCGGCTCCGGTGGGTACCTACCGCCCAGGGCCCCGGCGGCGGCTCCGGCCGCCTCCAGGTTCCTGGCGACGACGGCCAGGCGGTAGCCCTTCTGCGCCAGGAGCTGCGCCACGGCCCTGCCGATGCCGCGCGAGCCCCCGAAGACGGCGCACACTCGGCGCATCCTGGGCCGGGAGCCGCGCGCGCCGAGGGGAGCCCCCGCACCGCCGCGCCGGCGTCACAGCCCGCTTGCCGCCGCCGCGCCGGCAGCCGGACACGTCACGCAGCGCGGGCCGTGACGTCAGCGCGCCGCCTCGGGCGCGGCCGACACGCGGCCGCGGTGCACGCTGGGGCTCGTAGCCCGCAGTGGGCCGCGCTTCTGCTGCCCCTCGGGGCTGAGGGTCGGACCCGGGGCTCGCGGACCGGCCCGTCCGGTGCGCCGGGAGCCGCCCGGGCCGCTGCAGCTCTGCGCTTTCAAACCAGGGCCGTCGCCGCCAGCCGAGAGCAGCCGCCCGCCGGCGAGGCGCCCCGCGTCCGGCCTCCGCGGGGCCAAGGGGCGCCAGTCCGGTGAGCCGTCCCCGGGCGGTGCTGCCAGCCCCGAGCAGCGGGAGCCGGACAGTTAAGGCTGCGGCCGGGCTCCGCGGAGCGGCGAGGCCGGCCTGGCGCCGCTCACAGGCGGGACAGGCTCCCGCGGTTCTAACGAGGACGAGCTGAGCGCCCTGCCCTGCGAGGCCCTGAACTGGGAGTCGCGTGTTTGCTGCCGTTAGACTGCGAAAAGAAGCATTTCTTGATGTGTCATTGCTTTAGGTTCAGGAAACTATAATCCATGGTCCCTAGTTCCAAATGCAAACACGGAACAATGGCGCCGAAACGCTAGCAGGTGTTACAAAATCATAGGGAATCATAGGGCAGAAGTGTATGAACACGGGATCTCAGAGAAAAGGATGAAGGAATGCGGAAAAGCTGGACGAGAGGCTGGTTGCAGTTTGATAAAAGAAAGGGAAGAGCAAATTGAACACTATGTTTAAAATATTTCTATTCCACCCAAATCCAAAAGGGGTTTGAAGTGACTTGCAAATACACATGAGTAAGACCTCCCAACCATTAGGACGGCTACTATCAAGGATCAGAAAATAACAAGTGTTGGACAGGATGTGGGAGCCGTGGAACACGTGCCCTGTAGGATGGAATGCAAACAGGTACAGTTGCTTTGGAAAACAACATGGTGGTTCCTCAGAAAATTAAGAATAGAATTACCATATAACCCAGCAATTCCATTTCTGGGTACATACCCGAGAGAACTGAAAGCCATATCTATCCAAGTTCATAGCATTATTCGTAGTAGCTCAGCTGTGAAAGCAAACTGACCACCAACAAAGGATGGATAAGCAAAAGTAGTGTTAGACACACAGGAATATCATTCAGCCACAAAAAGGACAGAAATGCTGCAATTTGCTATGACCTGGATGAATCTGGAGGACAATATGCTAGTGAAATAACAAACGCTGTATGAATCCACTTGAGGTCCCTACAATAGTCAAAATACAGACAGAAATGAGAGCGGAACTCCCCCTGGCCTGCAGCGTGGGGGGTCGGGTGGGCAGGTACCGTAGGAGTACAATGCTCCAGTTTCACAGGATGAAAAATGCTCTGGAAAGGAATGGTGGTGATGGCTGCACAATGTAGATGTACTTGATACATTTTAATGCACTTAAAAATGATGAAGACAGTAAATTGTTATATGACTTTAACCACAGCCTTTTAAACTGGGGGGGGAGAAGGAGGATCCAGCAATACAAAGTTAACATTAATGATGAGAATACTGAATGCAGTTTGCGGTTTCTTAACGAGATTGTTTTGTCCCTAAGGCATATAGCAATACCGTCAAAATACTGTGATTTAAACGTACTTTAAGTATTTATTCTCCGAGGAGTTATACCACAAACTTGATACCAGGTTGTTTTCAACTTTTAGAAATTGCTTTGTTTTTATCGTTTTTACTTAATTTTGCCTTTTAATTAGATAAAACATTTAATGGTTCTTAAATGTAAACAAAGAGGAATATTCAGAGGTTTGTTTTCATCCTTGCCCTGTTTCCCACTCTCTTTCTACCCCTAAAAATTGCCATTTGTTACCTTTTTTGTTATCCTTCCATTCTTTCTGCAAATACTACACAATGCACATATCTTTCCAGTTCCACTCTCTTCCTTACACCACAGGTTGGACACTATCAATACTGCTCTGCACCCTGCCTTTTTCAGGGTAATAATCTATCTTGGGGACCCCCTATGCCTGTGTGCTGGGTCCTCCTTGTTCCTTCCCCAGCTGCGTGGTCCCCCATTATGGGCACTGTGATCAGCAAAATTCCAAATATGACCACCCAGCGTTCTTCCCTCCCACCCCAGGTATTTGGTCCAACACTAATCCAGGGACCACTGTGAAGGGAATTTGAAGACGTTTTTAAATCCTAATCAACTAACCTTAGAGTATGTAGATTAGTTGGGGGAACCTAATCTTATCGGGTGAAACCCTTAATAGCAGAGCATTTTTCTCTGGCCAATGACAAAAGAAGTGAGACGTTTGAAACACGGGAGGTCCAGGACATGAGAAATGTCCCTGCTTCCTCCAGGAAGAAAGCAAACAGCCACACTGTGAACTGCTAATGGAGAGACAGCCTCTAGAGGCTGAGAGCAAGCCCCAGGGAGAAACCAGCAGGGAACTAAGGACCTCGGTGCGCGGGTACAAGGAACTCCTGCCGGCAGTCGAACTGCAAGAGCCTCAGACGAGGACTGCACCGCCTGCGACGCCATGACTTCAAGCCCTGGAACGAGGGGGGGACCCTCGGCAGCACCCCGATGGCCGGCCCAAGGACACGGCCACATCAGTGACTGTGTGTTGCCTTGAATAGATACATAGTTCACATATAATCTAACAGTAACATGAGGTCAGTGGGAAAGTTACACAAATAGAGTAATGAAAATCTGTTCAGCACTAGAGAGCAGATGCACATGTGATTCTGAATTTCCTGGTGGCCGAGACCACTAAGGAAACATGATTAGTTACAGGTAGTAATTTGAATAAGAAATAAGCATACTGGAAGTGCAGTAGAGAGGTCCGAGCAAAACTTATCCTAGTAAATCCTCATAATGGGCCCACTAAGTGTTACAATGCACTTTGCTTGTCATGAAAAAAAGTATATTGCAAGGCTATTTTTACAGCAGTTACTATTGTAAGCAGAGGACACAACACCGAGGCAGACTTTTTAAAAGGCAAGTACAATAGGAAGTTAAACAATATTTGCAAACATTCATTTTTGCAATTCATTTTGCAAAGACACAAGAAGAGTCTGTATATGTGAAACAATGAGGAAATTGCTGCTTCTGGGCAAATTGGGATGGTGCTGAACTAGAGCAGGGTTTAAAACCAGAAGAAGGCCTCGAATAGGGCGCCTCTGTGACCCCTTCACAAAGTAAAGGTGCATTTAAGAAACGATAGTCTAGCCGTGATACCAGGATGGGTTGAGCCAGAGTGGCTCAGCCCCTCTCCCACTGCACACTCATGCACAGCTGTGGAAAGGAAAACCTGTTCAGACTAAGGACCAGTACACGGGTCAGCCAATGTGCCAGCTGTGTTCCCGCCACCCAGCATCGCAAGGCAGACCACAGAGATTCAAGCTTTGTGGTCGGTTCTGTCAATTTCCTAAGAAGAGGGTTACAGTTTGTTCTACATATTGTTACTTTAGCAAAAGATTTTGATCTATTCTGTCCACCACAAAGATCATTAACCCACAATGTGAGGTGACGTTCAGAATTCTCACAACCTTCCGATTTTTCTCACTGGTGTATACAGACAGTAACGGTTAGATGAAGGTTTTAATTCACCACTAACTTCAGTTTAAACCCCAAGGCTATTACTTATTTTTTTGTCTGTTAACATCATACCATTACTATCGTGGGTGAGAATACACTTATCACTACATACCAGCCATGAGCCAGGAGGGTCATTGGCAGGGGGAGTTTCGCCCAAACCCCTTGACAGTCAGCTGTGAGTTTGTAAATTACACTCGGTCTCCTTTCCCAGCAGGACTCTTGTCTATTCTCCTCACTAGGTGTCACTTCTGTGAAAATACGTTGACCATATTTCACACTTTTCTTTAATTAAAACCCACATAAGAATATAGTTCTCTTGAGTCCATAATCAGAGGCCCCTTAGAAGATTCCTTATATGTAAGGACTGCTCAGCAAATTTTTAAATAAACACACTCTGCCTGATTTTTTTCTTGTTACAAATGGAATACCACTTAATTGCAAAAAAGATTAGGAAAAAACAGTATTTTTAAAATTAATTCAGAGCCTTGTATACTTTAAATGGGTGAATTATTTCTCAATACAACTGTTAAAACAAAAATTAACTGAAAGCTCTCTGTCCTGCCGCATGAAGCTTGAAACTGCACTGACTGTAACTGGGTGGTGCTCCCCGGGGATATTTTTTATCATGAGTCAATCTTGACTTATGTATAATACCTCCAACTTGGCAGGTCAGGAGCTGGACTGTCCCCTCTCTTCAGGCGGTCAGGATGAAGCTCCACTCGCAGTCTTCTCGTGTGCACAGCCCGGCCGCTCAGTCGGCCCACACTCTTGCCTCAAGAGGAAAGACGGGCGTGGCCCCGCTGTGCCGCACAGAGATAACTGTTCTGACTAAACGCAGTGTGCGCTTTTTTTAAAATTAAGGTATTATTGATATACGCTCTTATGAAGGTTTCACATGAAAAACAATGTGCTTACTACATTTACCCATACTATCGAGTCCCCCCCACGCCCCACTGCAGTCACGCCCAGCAGGGTAGTAAGATGCCACAGAGTCACAACTTGCCTTCTCTGGGCTCCACCATCTTCCTCATCGCAGTGTGGGCTTGTAGCTTGACATTCTTCTGTCCCATCTGCTGGGTAACCTAAGTTGTCGCAAATGCACTTTTTATCATTTACAAGAGCTTACTTGATTTCGAATGAAAAGGAAAATGTGTCCCGTGAGTACTTTTATTTCGTTGAATTGGTGTTCATGCTGAAGAGGCCACCAGGGAGACCTTTCACACCTGCCACCACACTCCCCATGCCCAGTCCGTCGCAGAGTCCTGCCGATTCCCCTCCCTGAGTGTCACTCCCGCCTGTGCCCTCTCCGACAGCCCTCTGTCAGTCTGGCTGGCCTGCCACCCTCTGGGAGCACCCCTGCTCTGCCCTCAGTGCCACCACTGGAGGGCTCCTTCCAAAATACAGGCCTGATCCTCCTTCCCT